TTGATTCGTGACTTTTTCCGCGACTTGTTTTGAGTTTGGCGAAGGGACATAACTCCCACTAAGCCGACCGACGCCGTCCAGCTTGCCGGCCAAATCTGCAAGTAGAGCCTGGAATTTGTGTTGTCTGTCGCTTCCCTGTCTCTGAGCGTCGAATATTGGCTAGATCCTCTCGTCAAGAAGCAAGAAAATACAAACAAGAGAAAAGAGTTATCACAACAATAATTAAAAGAAAGGGCCACACAGTAGATAAGTCCTCACAATACTACTTAGCTATCCAACTTCCCTAAAGACTTTAGTAGAGTACAAATATTTCCATGTCAAGTCACATGACTTTCTGTCAGCTGACTGGACCGGCCCAGGACATTGTTGAATTAATGTTTCGCACAATAGTTTTACTGTCAATAATACGATTCCGAATTTCTGCCTGGGGAACATACACATTGTAATTTTGCGCTTATAAAAGACTTGGGAGTGAGAAATCAATTATTGGATATTGACTGGTCTTCACAGGGAGAAAATAACTGTATAGGCTTTCTCGGTTATTGACTCTGCCTACAAAGGAAAGACATGATACTGCAATTATGGGGTCACTAGTATTGGAACTCTTTAATGGCTGCTGACGATGGGGATGGAGCGTGTATGGAAATGTCCCGAGTGCTGTGATGTTGCTAGCTGGTTGCTAACTCAAATCAGATCCTTTATTTACTACATAGCAGGTTTATGTCTGTCGTCACCTGGCTCTTGGCCCTTGATCTGTGCAACATACGAGACCCTGCCTGACCAGAAGTTGTGCTACAATCGACTAAGTGCTGGTGTCACTGGGACATGAAAGCCCTCAACCACATTGAGGACACGAGGCTGTCTTGATTTTGGTTCTTTTCCCCATAAGTGGGCCATGTTGGCTCAGGCCCATGACTTGTGTTTCACGGAATCTATCAATGTAGATGACGATAAAAGATCTGCATGTGAATGCTGTTCTCCTAATGCCCCTCCCTCTAGGTCAGTGCTGGTCGCTGCTGCAATGTTGACCTTTGTAATATTTCTCAAGTGAAGTGACAGTTACGGGTTGTGTATGCATGTCTACGAGTATGTTTGTCTACTATTCTCTGTGCCTGAACTCGTCCAGGTCATAGAACTGTAGGATGATATCCAGAGACAGACTCTTTGAGACTATCCCCCATTCTGTCACTGATTTATCCGTGCAAGAGTCGCTTGATTCCTTCATCATCATCATCATCATCAGGTGCATTGCCGACTGGCGTGGGCGATCATGCCTCTCCACAATCCGCGATCTCCTGCAGCATGTATCAGTTCGTGTGCCGACACACCTCCATGCCATGCAACAAGACTGTCAAGCATCTTCTCTCGTTGTCTTCCTCTATCCCTCCTTCCACAGATCTTTCCAGTGGTCACAACATGTTCTATTTTCCCTCTTCTCATAACATGGCCGAAAAATGATGACTGTCTCCTTCTGATATCTGTGATAAGTTGTCTTCGGGTTCCCGCCTCTTTTAAAACCTCTTGGTTGCTATTTTTGGCTGTCCAAGGTATTCTAAGCATTCTTCTGTATAAAAGTGTATCCCACTGATGCTGATCCCCCCCCCCCTCTCTCTCTCTCTCTCTCTCTCTCTCTCTCGCTTCTAATTAGTGTAAGCTTTTTGGCGAAGGGGCTTATTTTAAGCAACAATCCAGTGATGCCACGTTACCTGCGATGGCATCAAATAGAATTCAAGCCTACCTGAGTGATATCTCGGGAGTCACACTGGCGGAGCGGCTAGACGCTCGCCGCGAATCGGCAGGTCTTTGGTTCGCTCCCTTGCGGAGCCGGACTTTTTTCAAAAATGACATTGGCTCTGAGGTCGGCGCAGCCTTGAGTGGGTACCGGGTGCAGTCCCGGGAAGTAAAGGTGGCAGGCGTGATGACCATCTCCTAATTATATTAATATGTTTCATTATTAAGTTGTCATCTTTTGATTTTAAACACCCAGTGCTGTTACGCGTCATCTTTCCGGTTAAAAAAAAATTATATGTTGGTACATGGAATGTGTCAGGTCTGTGTCTAAGTCGATGCAAACGCTTCGTAATGCTGGGTTCGATCCCAGCTGCGGGCCATGCGCCTTGCGTTGGTTTCGACAGCGGTATCAAGAAAGCAATGGCAAACTAATGTGCCTAGAAAAACCACACATTAGCCATGAGCTGTTGGGGTTGGTTCTGCAAAGGATACGCAACTAACTAACATGGAATGTGAGTCTTTCCTGTGATTTTCCTCAACCCTCTGTACGCATTTGATTCAACCAGGCTTCTTTAGCCACTTTGCATTTGTTCACCAACTGCCCCTCAATAAGAATATAAAAAAAAGGCAACTAAGCGTTTGTTGAAGTCGGATTAGCTTGGCCTAAATGCTACAAATATCGCAGGCTAGCTGTAAACATATAACAACTTGCAAACAGCTTTTTAAAGGTAAAACGAAGAAAAGAACATTCTTTCGCTAATTTATCTTCTTTGTTCTCAGTATTTTGATATTTTTTCCGGCTGTTAAACAGTTTTTCTTATTTTGTTAATGCTTGCCAGTTAGTGTAATCATTAATCGTCGAAATATTATTAGTCCGAAGATTTCAAACTGCTGTATCACTAAGTATTTGTTGTCATATTTGATCTTGCATATTATTACTTGCATATTACTTGCATATATATACGAATCCAACTCTAAAGTATGCGTGCTTTATATTAAAGAGGCGGTTAATTAATTTTTACATTTACGAAACAAGAGCTCATTATATCTTTATCATTGTGTCTTATCGCTAATCAATGGCTAATGCGAGGAGTTACATTAGTTACAAGGGGGTCTGGCCGACGCTCAAGACCAAGTCTCAGGGAAATTGCGAGAACTGAGATATAAACTACAATCAAACAGTTATTGGTACCAGTACCATCTGTCGGTTCTTAATTCAACATTCTAATCGCCGAAAACAATTATTGTACTCCTTGAGATCTTGATCGTGCATGCCCCAGAGACCTTGTTCACTGAGACTTAGGCCTTATACTATTATTACTATACAATTATACATAGTTTAGTTCATCACAATATCTCCACTCCCCCACGGTATAATTTGCTATCCTCTGAAAAACGGTCCCAGATTATCGAGGCCGAAAATAACAGGGCCTCAGTCATATGTGCAGTGCGTAGCGGCGCGGGAGATACTCTCTGCGGTGACTTTAACTCGGCGGAGGCTTTTCCGAGGTATGCTATGCAGTCTCCAGACTGAGGCCCTGTTAGGGTATATTTTCGGCCTCGATAATTTAGGACCGTTATTCGGAGGAGAGCCGCATAATCGTCTGAAGTTTATCTCAACGCCTGTCCATAATTGATACGCTGTCTGAAGCTTCCCATGTACTGCAAATAATTTCTTATACAGATGACACAATGCTAGACTAACTATCTAAAGTTACTATTTCTAATATTCTATTCTCCCCCACACCCCCGCCATCTGTCTCTCTTTCAAGTTCCAGAGTTGTCAGGACATAAAAACAGTGCTACTGATCTAGCTTTACCTTTCCCATGAGGCAGCAGGGATCGAACCTGGCATTATGAAGCTCATTTGCACCTAAGCCACGGACACTGATTAATGTAACAACTAGAATTATGTAAGAACTAGATTAATGTAAGAACTAGATTCATGTAGGAACTAGATACATGTAGCAATTAGAATAATTTAAGAACTAAAGTAATGCAAGAACTAGATTAGTGTAAGAACTAGATATAAAAAAAAGTATATCATTTATGGAGTTATAATAAAAACAGTGAATTGCCTGTTGCTGAATGAGTTAATTAATGTGCACCACATTATTTGGTCTTGTGTGGTAGATTCCCAGTTGCCAGATTTAACTCCTTCAGCCCCAGGGGGTTTATCATCAGAGGCCTTCGGGGCAGTAAAGAGAGATGAAAAATCGGCACATCTTGTGTTCGTTGGGCTTTTGGGCAGGAACCTATGAAGGTGTGATGCATCCTTTGGGACCGAAAGAGTTGAAACCAAAGGTTTAGGATCATCATATTGTATATGTTTTACATAGGGCTGACATTCGATTGCCCTGTTCCAATGGCTTAGCCCTGTCTGGGAAGAAAAGAGGATAATGGACAGAAGTGGCCACCACATTTTATATTAGTCAGTCACCTGAGGGCTAAATTCTTGTTTCAAGCAAATTGCATCCAAAGATTCAGTTAACGTCATCATCATCCAGATCAATTTGAACTTCTGCCATTAAGTGTTGTGGGGAGGAACAGTTTGTGATCCTTTGTTAGATGGGCGGTAGTGGCTATTGTCATTCTGTGTTGATGTAGAAGCCCTTTAGTGTCATCAGTCTATGTTCTCCAAGGGTGGCCTCTTGCTTTCACTTCAGATCTTTTCATGTGTAGCACCTGCGTTGGTAGTTGTTTTGGCCACATTCTTACTAGATGACCAAATGATTTGATCTTATATTTCTCAGTGAATTTACTGCATGGTGTTGTTCCCACAGTCTGTCTGATAGTATCATTTCTAGCTTTGTCTCGGATGGCCAAGTTGGCAGCTCTTCTCAGGCATCTCATTTCACAGGTGTTACTTTTACATAGGTTAGTCTTTGAGAATGTCCAAGTCTGGCACTGGTAGCACAGTTAATCTATTTCTTGGTCGTCATACTTATGTTTGGATGTCTTAATAATAGTGTCAGTTAATATAAGTGCACTTGTTTGCTGGCATGCTGTTTCTGTTTCCTGATCTGTTCTCCCATCCTACGAGAATATACCTTGGGATACTGTTAAGTGACAAATAACAGCCCTTCAAATGCACTTGAGTGAAAATCACCAGTTGCACTTAGGTGATTTTGGCACAGTGCCAGTGATGTGTAATCTCATATAATGATTGCAGGCCTAGGACACACTCCAATGGGTTTGTCTGATATGGGACGGCCGTTAGCATTGTTGTAACGCAGAATCATGACCAATTTCAGATAACTGTTGCAGCCATGGAGGACCGACGTCTCCTGACATTGTATGGTAGTCAGACAGGGACTGCTCAAGATGTTGCAGACAGGGTTGTCAGGGAAGCCAAGAGGAGACACTTTTCTGCCAAATCTGTTGCCATGGACTCATACAATGTGGTAAGGTTAACTGCTGTATTACATAGTCTCTGTGTAATGTGTTGACCTATTTGTGTTCCTGTGTGCACTTTAGTTTGTAGAAGCAAGGGTGAACTATTTTGCTCCAAAGAAACCAATATTTTGGCTTCACAAAGTGTTTCAAACCTTGAGTAGGGATTTGCCATTCCTTGTGTTGATTACTTATTACTTCCCTTCATTTTTTTTTTGGTTGAAACCAGTGAAAAATGTATGTGAATATTTGTATTAGTGACTTTGTAAAATGGGCACGTCAACACTTTCTTTTGGAGGAAGGGGACATTTTCAGGATCCGTGCCCCCCACCCCGGATTAAATCAAGGCGAATGACTTCATTTCACCAGGTACCCTGTATGATTTACATGACCCCATTTTGGGGGCTAAAGAACAGACCAACTGCATCCCCTAACGAGCGACTAATTAGGGATATTTCCTTTGAAGTCAGAGTGCATTGGATTGAGAGACGAGAAGCTGACAGTCTGCATAAAAGTCATATCTGTAAAACTCAAATTCTGGAACCAGACAAAAGTCGAGAAGTGGACGAATAACCAGAACATTGCAAACAATTAATAATAAAAACTAATTGTGAATTATTTCAGTGATTTGTTGGTCATGATGTAGTTGTGGACTTTACACTTGCCTGTCTGCTTGGTGGTCTAGGAGTTCGACCCCCTGAATGTTTATAAAAACCGCCTAAGACTCAGAATGTTTTCTGCTCCTTCTTCTCTTTCCCTAGTTTCTTAGAGTTTCAGTGAATTATAACGATGTATTGTTTTTAATGAAATTTGGGAAAAGTTCAGTTTTTAAGGTTTTTATGGATCTGAATGGTTAAAGACACGAAGACCAACTCATACTGTGCATTAGAAAGAGAATGCAAATATTACTTACATTTCTCCTCAACACCTCGTTAAGGTAAATGCAGGAAACAATGTAAATGTGTGTGTGTGTCTGCGTGCGTGCGCCTGCATGCATGTGCATGTGTATGTATGTGTGTGTATGTATATATATATATATATATATATATATATATATATATATATATATATATATATATATATATATATATATATATATATATATATATGCATGTGTGTTTGTGTGTGTGCATGCATGTGCGTGTATGTATATGTATATATATATATATGTTTGTGTTTGCGTGTGTGCATGCGTGTGTGTGTGTATATATATATATATATATATATATATATATGCGTGCGTGTTTGTGTGTGTGCATGCATGTGCGTGTGGGTGTATATATATATATATATATATATATATATATATATATATATATATATACATACATATATATATATATATATATATATATATATATATATATATATGGGTGTGTGTTTGTGTGTGGGTGCATGCATGTGTGTGTGTATATATATTATATATAATGTTATTTTTTCTAGGCTAACCTCATTCAAGAACCACTAGTTATTTTTGTGTGCTCTACGACTGGACAGGGAGACCCACCTGATAATATGAAGGTATGTTAACAGTGTGCGGTGCAGAATTGCGTGTTTTAATTCATGATTTACTTTTGTTGAGGATAGACCAACTTTGCGAACATTAGTAGAGAGATCACAGGAGAAACAGAAAGAAATATATTTGTGCTTCATAGATTACACCAAAGCTTTTGATATAGTGAAACATGATGGCATGATAACATTGTTCAAGGATATTAACATTGATGAAAAAGATCTCAGAATAATAAAAAATATTTACAAGAAGCAGTAAGCAGCAATTAAAATACAGATGCCCGGCTCGCTAGCATAGTTGGTTAAACCTGACTTCGCGGCGACAGAGTGATGAACTCCTTGTGGTCTGGGTTCACGCCCGGGTGTAGGCAGAAAAGCCACATTTCTCCCAAATTTATGGTAGCTATCATGGAATCAAAGCAGAAGGGTTGCAATATCCATAGTATCAAGCCAAAGGGTTAAGAACTCAGTGTTTCTGGATATTTAAAAAAAAAAAGAAAAAATATAGACAGTAATGGCACTTTTGTTTTTTGAATAGTTTGTGTGTGGCACAGATAAAGTATTTCATTTCTTTATCATTTATATTTAATTTCTTCATCATTTATTTGTAGAGAAAGCTCAAGCTCTTCTTTATCATTTCTGGTTAATGTGCATCAGTTAAAGTATTTCTTAAACATTTATTGTTAGCATGTGAGACACCTAAAGTATTTCAGTTAAGTAAAAATATTTATTTAAATTCAAGAAAGTATCATCTTATAACAGGGAACCATGATCAGTCTTTGTTATTATATCCATTTTAATTCACTAGTTTCTCAGACTGCTAATTGTCCAAGTCAGTTTGTTAACCATTTACAGTAAGGTGTTTTTGTTTGATTTGATTTATTTTCAGATGTTCTGGAAGTTTTTGTTAAGAAAAGACCTGCCTTCCAACTCACTGTGCCAGCTCCATTTTGCAGTTCTTGGTCTGGGCGACTCATCTTACCAAAAGTAGGTGTGCCAGATAGTACTACTGCCCAACCTGTTTATTTTTTCTGAACTCTTTCAATCAGGTTGCCTGGGGAAGGCCATCTGCAAGGGAATTTTTTATTAGCTGCTGAAGAAGGGCCAGATCACACGAGGGAATATCCTGAATGCTGCATTGGAACTCTTTGTTGGCTGCTGAAGAAGGGTCAGATCACACGAGGAAATATCCTGAATGTTGCATTGGAACTCTTTGTTGGCTGCTGAAGAAGGGTCAGATCACATGAGGAAATATCCTGAATGTTGCATTGGAACTCTTTGTTGGCTGCTGAAGAAGGGTCAGATCACATGAGGGAATATCCTGAATGTTGCATTGGAACTCTTTGTTGGCTGCTGAAGAAGGGTCAGATCACATGAGGAAATATCCTGAGCGCTGCATTGGAACTCTTTGTTGGCTGTTGAAGAAGGAAATGGAGCACACAAGGGAGTGTCCCAGTTGCGGTGAAGCCAGTTCTTGACTTAGTCGTTCGTGAATTCTTCCATTCAGTTTTTGAAAATTATTATTTGAAAGAAGAATAAGCCATGTATGCTTTCTTGATATTTCTCATTGTAACAACTTCTTAGTCATTTTTCTGTTCAGTGAACATTCTTGATCGCTTTATAATTTTCTTGTTTATTGAATCTTCTTGGTGATTGTTCAGATGGCATTATTTCATCCAGCTGTCACAATGTTTTCTCCTTCTCATCACATGACCAGAGAATGAAGATGGTCTCTTTTTGATGTGGGCAATCAGTTCTCTTCCTGAGTCGGTTTCTTTCATGACATCCTCATTACTGTTTTTATCTGCCCAGGGTATTCTCATCATTCGTCTATAAAACCACATCTCTGCAGCTTCCAAATAGTTTTTCACTCATCTACCAACTATCCATGATTCACTTCCATATATAACAAGATAGGATTTGTATAGCTCTTAAGAATTCTCTTTCTCGTCTCAACTGACAAAGATTACATACAATATTCTTCATGCTGCCAACATTGAATATTATTTTATGAAAATATAATTGGTTGTAGAAGTGGTCTAAGGGAAGTGACTGCTTGTGAAGCTGATGAGTACTACTTTCTATAGTTGTTTATTTATTCATTGTTGTATATGAGGCTTTTATGTGATAGAGTGCAGTTGTTATTTAGCTTATTCTTTTATCCTTCTTTGCCATCACATGTAGCTTGCCCTGTGTCTTCTAGCTTTTTTTTTTTGTTTTTGTTTTTAACCTCACTCTAATTCCTGTATCCATTTGTGTGTGTGTGTTTCTGCCTGTATTATTTTGACTCTGTTTGTTCCTGTGCAATAGTGGCTTTTGTAACCTCGGCTGAACTAACCCCTGTTTGCCAGACAGTCATTGAAAATATAAGCCCAACACCATATCCTCAAAATGTATTAATGGTGGCAGAAATGAAATCAATTTACTTTAGTTCAATGTTGAAGACATTCTTCTGTTACAGATTTAATGTGGTTGCAAAACGGTTACAGAAGAGACTGGAACAGCTTGGTGGTCACTCTATCTTTCCACTTGGGCTGGCAGACGATCAGCATGATTTGGGGTATGGTTTTTTTCTCCTTGTACTATAATTGAGCATCAAAGAGAATTGGCTCATAAACAACATCCTGTCCCATAAGTTGAGCAATTTTCTTCTTCTTCTGCCTTTCTATCCCCCAATGGAGCATAGGCCCTCAACTAACTCACGCCAAGTCGTTCTATCCTTCGCCATTGCATGGAGCTCACCCCATGTCCTCCCAATGTCCTCCCAATCTTTCTAACCTCATTCTCCACCTCTCTTCTCCATGTGTTTTTTGGCCTTCCTTTATTCCTATGCCCCTGTGGGTTCCAATGCAAAGACATTCTAGTTATGCTGTTCTCCTGTTTTCTCAGTGTGTGCCCTATCCAACGCCAGCGTCTTTTCCTCACCTCCTGATCCACTGGAGCCTGTTTAGTTCTCTCCCAAAGTTCTACATTAGTTATTCTATCATACCATTTTATTCCCTCTATTCTGCGCAGGCACCAGTTAATGAATGTCTGTAATTTATTAGTAATTGCCTTGGTTGTTCTCCATGTTTCCACCCCATACAATAGTACTGATTTGACATTAGAATTAAAAATTTTTAGTTTAGTATTTCTTTTAATTTCTTTTGACCTCCACAAATTCCCTAGTGCTATGAAAGCCCCTCTTGCCTTTTGTATTCTTATTTTAATATCTCTATCAGTTCCTTCATCTTTATCTACATTACTGCCTAAATAGGTGTACAACTTCACGTCTTGGAGTGGGGTGCCATTAAGAGAAACCACATTACTATTTGCCTGATTTATTCTCATTATCTTTGTCTTTCCTTTATGGATTTTCAGACCAAGCTGCTGTGATCTCGCATTAAGTATATTTAATTTATCTTGCATCTGATTCCGTGAATGAGACAGAAGAGCAATATTATCAACGAAGTCCAGATCATCAAGCTGTTTTGTAGGGGTCCACTGAATTCCATTCTTGGTGTTAGCTTGAGCTATTTTGACCATGTTAAACGTCATGGTGGCCTGGAAAGAACGGTGACGGTTGGTACAGTTTTTGAAAAATAAGACAGAGGCAGACCACAGCAAAAGTGGATACAAGACATTGAGGATGCATTTGCTAAGAAGGCACATAAGGCTGGAGAATTGGCTACAGAAAGTGGGAATTTCTGGTGTGCCGTGACGAGAGTGATGTTTTATAAAAGACCTACTGATTGTAGCAAAATGGTTAGTGCACTTACCTGCTGACTCGGTGGTCTAGATTCAGTTCCCAGAAAAAGCAGGATTTTATTCTGACCAGTGCAGCACTGGAGTTAACCCAGCTTCATACAAATTTGTCCAACAGTTGATTCACTACAGTGCTTGTCCAGGTGATCTGATTATCTACACAGATGGTTCTGTTTTGAGAGGGAAGAGAAGTGTATGGGGGTTCGTAGTGAAAGCCAATGGAAAATCTTTAGTGCAGGACAGCCTAGCATACGATACCACCACGTCTAGCATAAGGGCCTGTTCCTGATTTCTCTTCCTGCCCTGACGCATTCCAGGAGTAGAGAAAAGAAAGAAGAAGAAAATCTTTGTGATTAAGTCATCAGCACAAAACATAACCTCGCCTTTCAGCTTGCTGGGATATCATGGTCACATGAAATAAATGAGGAAAGGGAATGTAAAATCAAAGAGGACAGGTGGTGTTTGTCAAAATACGCAGCCCTATACTGGAATGTGAACCTAGTACCTTTCTGAAATCAGTGGACACCAAAATGTCTCAGTTACTCTGCCCCCATATTTGAAAGCATCATGATCATACATCATGTTAATAAGAGTAGGTGGTCCTGGTTTGCCTTTTGACACAATAACTAGAGTTTCAGATCATGTCTGTGTTCTTTTCCTACTAATTCTGAGTGACTGCTTGGGCCATAATAATTTTCTCTTTTCCTTTTCGTTCTCCCTGCCACTGGTTTTCAGATGAGAAGGCTACAGGCCTCTATGAAGTCTGTGTTACGACGCATGTGTTTCACCGTTCCACACAGTTTGGTTTCTATTGATTGGAACGCTAACCTGCCAAACCTGGGATCTCTCTACTGCATGTAGAGAGCAAACATGTCATGTCTGAAGCACGTGTTCAGTATTCTGTTGTGTCTGTCCAAATGGGCAAAGTTCTGAATCCCCAATCTTGAATTTCTCGTACATATGGCTGTAGAGTCTGTTGTGTCCAGTACATGATCTGATTATAATGGTTAGTTTCTTTCTATTTAGATTGCATATTGGACACAAAATACTGCAGCCATGTGTTATAATTTCTACGAAACATCTTTTATCATATGTTATCACTGTTTCATTTTATGACTGAAAGTTCAAAAATAAACTAGACATGGGAAATGTATCAGGAAGTACAGTCGCTAAAAATAGGATATGGATCAGGACAGGATATTTATAGTTTATTAATGAAAGCTCAGGTGGTGTTATTAACTTCAGACTTTGTGACATTTCAGTGTTGATGCTGTGGTGACTCCCTGGCTGGCTGACTTGTGGAAGGCTGTTCTAGACATTTATCCTCTTCCTCCAGGAGTGGAAGTTGTCAGCAGTGACATTTGGTAACATGCATTATTAACATACATAGAATACATACACATAAGCCTTCATGCACACATACACACTCTCACTTTGTCTCTGTCTCTATTACTCTTTCTTACTCTCTCTCTCATTCTGTCTTTCTCATTCCCTCGCTCGCTCACTTACTCTGAAGCTCTCACTCACTCTCTCATGTATCACTATTATACTCTGTCTCCCCCTTCCTCTCCTCTTCTTCTCTTTCTCCCCCCTCCCCTGTCCTTCCCTCCCTTCATTTGTCTTGCTGTATTAATAAACAGTGCCCAGATGTGTCAGTTGTAGAAACCAGTGTTTGTCATGGTGTACAGTTATTGTAATAACATATTTAAAAAAAAAATAACTAGCCATCTTCACAGTGGACGCTGACTGCAGTGGATTTGTGCATCACTGAGGTCTTTGGGAATATTATTTGGCGAGGCTTCAGTCTCTTCTATGATGTGATCGCCTTAACACCTTGAGAACCGGCATGTTTAAACCTTCACTGTGGTAATGGAACCCTGCTGCACTGGAGACTAGGATATGCATTCGCTGACCTCTGAGCCACAAAGCTATTCAAACAAGACAGTTAATAATAAAATAAGGCAGGACAATTGGCAAATGGTCGGGCATTTTTCTAGCAGGCTGTGGTGAGAGTGGACACTCTACAAAGGATCTGCTTCATGGAAAACTGGACTTTGGGAACACAGTGATGGAATCAGTTGACACTTGCGATAGGTGTTTACGTATATTACTCATGCTACAAAGCTGTGTGTGTTTTAAGGGATGTTTAGAGATACTTTGAGCAGTGTATGTTTTAGTGTGCCTGACACAGTAGCCAGCGGTTCACTCTCCAACAGTGACATAATTGGATATTTTTGTCTTTCTTCAGTACAGGGTAATTGGCCAGATGGCTCTAACGCAGAAAACCCGGGTTTTAATCCTCGGTGAGGCTGGGGATTTTCTTTTCGTCGGGGCCAGAAATAAAATCCTCACTCGCACAGTCCGTGGTGACAGCAATAGCCATGCGACCGTAGATCCTCAGGCTTTAACACCCCCTCCCCCCGCCTATACAGCAAAAGTGGTATGATAAAGTCAGTAATTGGCAGTACAGGATAGTCAAAGACTTTTTGCTGGGATTTTAAACTGTTATTATTTTTTTTAAAAAAAACAACAACAACCAAATGAACAGGCTAAGTTCCACATGCAGAAGATATAACTTGAAAATCAATACTACTAAAACTGAAGTAATGTAGATCAGCAGAATTCCTAGTCCGTTACATATCGGGTTGAATGGTACTTATCTGAAGGAAGTTAAAGAATTTAAATATCTAGGAAGTATATTTATAGAGGATGAAAGAATAGATCGGGAAATATAAACAAGATGCCAATGAGCCAGTGCACTTATATACCAACTGACACCCTTATTAAGACATCCAAACATAAATATGAGCACCATGAAATAGATTATAAACAGCATATTCATTCCAGCACTGTGCTACCAGTGCCAGACTTGGACATTATCAAAGACTAACCAACGTAAAATTAACACCTGCGAAATGAGATGCAGAGAAAATCCGCTAAATCAACCATCCAAGACAAAGTTAGAAATGATATTATCAGACAGACTGTAGGAACAACTCCTCCATGTAGCAAATTCTTTGAGAAACAGAAGATCAAATGGACTGGTTATTTAGTAAGAATGCAGCCAGAACAACGACCAACGCAGGCGCTACACATGAACAGATCTGAAGTGAAGGCAAGAGGCCACCCTAGGAGAAGTAGATTGATGATATTAAAAGCTTCTACAGTGAAACGGAATGACAGTAGGCAATGCTGCCCATCAAGCAATAGATTGCAAACTGTCCCTCCCCACAACGCTTAGTGGCAGAATATGAAATTGATGATGATGATGATGATAAAAAAAGTATTTAAATGTTCAGAAAAGTTTAAAATGTCACCTGAGAATAAAAGATCACCACAGTCTGGGGAGATTGATGCAGTTGGGGGTGACGAGAGGCTCTGGCAGATATCGGAACTCTTCGCTGGCTGCTGACGATGGAGATGGAGCGCTTATGGGAATGCCCCGAGTGCTGTGATGTCGGTTCTTGAATCAAATCAAATCAAATCAGAATGAAAGTGGGGCATTGATGGGAGTTAGAATGGGGTTGCGAGAATACTTTAAACACGTTGCTTTAGTGACATGTGGCAGGATTTAGGCCATTCAACAGAAGGATAAGTTTGTGTTGTGATATGCTAAACTGCAGTTGGTTGCACCAGTGCAGCATGAGTAGCAAGTCTTGCATCCTCGAGAAAACCCTGCAGATGACAAGGCTTTGAGTCAGTGACTGAAACAGCTCAGAGAAACTGGTAGGTAAAGTAAAGCACCCTTTTCAACACCTTCAGGCATATAGGGCTAGATCTATAATTTATAGACCAATCAGCACTCGGCACCTTTACTTTCCAGGACTGTACCTGGTACCCATTTAAGGCTGGGAGCCAAGGTCGTTTTAAAAAAAAGTCTGGCCCCATTAGGACCTGAACCTATGACCTTCTGATCCACAGACGAGCGTCTAGCGACTATACGCACGGCGGACCCCAGAGAAACTAGTAGTGTTGAAAAAAGAAAATCTTCTAGATGACCGAGCTGTGAACTACAACACAGTTGACCAGCCACCCTTTTAATAATTTAGTTTCAAAAGAGTTCAGAAATGAAAGATTTAAAATATATATGTATTGCAGTCCCCAGTCTAAATATAAGGTCAAGTTCATCAAGGACAAACCATCAGTGAACGGTCATTCAGCATCATATGGTCACAGAGAACCAAGCCCAGTCTTGACCACACAACCAGTGGTAGAACCTGACCTCTCACCTGGAAGGATACCAGATGCTCTCTTCCCATTTCCTGCCCATCTTCTCTCCAACGAGAGGCTCACAGCTGCTGACCACTTTCAGGATGTTCGGCTGATTAAGTTCGATATAACTGGGTCAAATATTAGGTAGGTTTGTCAAAATTCGGGCCTTGGAATCACCTGTTTGTGTACAAGAATTTTAGTAGTAGTAGATTTTTACCCCACCAGGACATCACACAAGTGATAAACACCCGATGACACAGAGCCACCATGTCTATGAGGATCACCCGTGGAGAGGTCCCAGAAACCGCGTTCAGCCATTAGACCATATTTATGGCCGGGCTATATTGCGGCCCCTGGGAAGAGCCAGAGTAGGGCTTCAACATAACAAAAAATTGCATCTCACAAGGAGATGACCGGATAAGAAGAATTGTTTCTTTCTTCTCTTCTTAAAGTCCATGTGGCGTGACATTAGTCATTGTGTTTGTTTACTACCTTCTGTCTCTGTTAAACCATCCAACATCCTTTTCTTAGGCTTTCCTTGATCTTTTTTTTACCTTCGACTTTCCTTTTGTCATGATGCACCTAAAAATGTGGATTATCTTCTTGAGGTGGGTGGAATTAAGAACGGACACCATAGCACTCTGGAAATCCCCATAAGCGTTCCACCCCCATCTTCAGCAGCCTGCACAGAGTTCCAATTCTGAGGGTACCTGTAGCAATTTGATTTTTTCTTCATCTTGATTTTCCCCGGAGTGTTTAGTGTCGGCCAGATCCCCTCGTCACTTCCTGCTGCTCCATTCTCTTCAGACTGGGATGTTTTGCCCTTGCTTCAACACTGTTCACTCACTCCCATAGCCACATCTTGCTTGTCATACATCAGTTTACCAGATTATCTTCTTCTGATGTAAGTTATCTGTTCTCTGAGTTAAAGTTGAGAGGATCGACTTCATTGCACCAGGTTTGATCCCATATGGCTCGATCTCTTTTTGCAGAATGACTAGCCGCCTGCCAAGAGCATCGCACTGAGCACGAATTCCTTAGGTTTTCTCGCCATATTTCATAAAACCACGTCTCTGAAGCTTCTTCTTTATTTCTCACTTTGTTAATCTGACAAGTCTGGTTTTATATAATGCTACTTCTTTTTCTTTTAAACATTGTTGAGATACTGTTAAAATATCTTATGCAAAAAGTAGCCTGCAATTACATGTATCAGATCATTTGTGTGTGAAAGAAAAAATATAAAGTTTTTGTATAAAGTTCTTATGATTGTACATCTGGGAATCATGGATACTGAATATTAAGGTAAGAAAGAAATTAGAAGTCACTGACATGTTGTTTATCCATCACCAGCGATGAAGACCACTTTCATCCAAAGTAGTAAAGATCAGTGATTATGAGTACAAAGGTGGCTGATTAGTCCAATATGAGCCTGGAATGTTCTTGAGCAGTGCGGACAACAGGTAGAAGGCGCAGTAAGTGTGGGATTAGCAGCATGATTCTTTCTAGTCTGCCTCCGTTTCTCTGCCTGTGCAACCTCCTCTGCCTGGCAGGACGATGCACCTTGCCTGAAGGATGTACACCATCCAGAACGGTCTTGTGCAGCAGCCTCCCACATCACTGTGTTGAAGCCAGAAGAATTAACATATGATTTCTATGAAGAATGTGGATTCCCATAGGGGACAAAGAGGACCTGCGATTGGTAGATAAATAATTAAAGCAGATTATTACACACAGTAAAACTTTACAGCTGGTCAAGCCGTGTCACTCTTGGTTGTTGGAAATTTAAGAATGACAGCATGCCAGTTGTGTTGATGTCCAAGCTAAATAAAAATAAAAAGATTTTAAAAAAGATTTATACAAAAAGGTTTTATTTACAGTACATACAATAATTACTGCATTAACACCGCATTGGCGACAGTATCTACAGAAACCTCATTGTAGAATGAGTAAGGTTCACAGACTGAGTCCCTTCTGTATGACACAGGTTCAGATGTTTCTGGATAAAAGTTCATCATACATGGCTTTAAAAGGTTCAGACTGGCTACAGTCATCCTGGAGATAGGATCAACGATTCCTTCAAAGTCAGTGTGCATCTGCTTGATAGGCAGGGAGACCTCAGATTACAGGCAAGCTGATCATGTTACTGGGCAGGCCTGATCATGTTACTGGGCAGGCCTGATTATGTTACTGGACTGATCTGATGTTACTGGGCAGACCTGATCATGTTACTGGGCAGACCTGATCATGTTACTGGGCAGACCTGATCATGTTACTGGGCAGACCTGATAATGTTACTGGACTGATCTGATGTTACTGGGCAGACCTGATCATGTTACTGGGCAGACCTGATCATGTTACTGGGCAGACCTGGTCATGTTACTGGGCAGATCTGATCATGTTACTGGGCAGACCTGATCATGTTACTGGGCAGACCTGGTCATGTTACTGGGTATGACTATCCTGTCTTTCTTGCCACCATTGTGGTCATATTGAATTGTTTTCACACATTCTCTGCTGCAGGTATCTGCCAGGAGATGTTGTGATGATCCAGCCAGAAAACATGCCTGATAGCGTAGAGGAGTTCCTGTCTCTGCTGGGAGTTGACCCAGAGCAACAGTTTGTTTTGGAACAGAATGATCCTGGTGGGTGATGCTCTCTTATCTTTCTCTGCCTCTTTTCTTTCTGTCATATACTTATTTTGATTTTTTTTTTTAAATTTGTTTGATTGATTAGTTTGAATCTGACAAGTCTGAAGTAGTTGGCCATGTTTAACTCTTTCAGTACCAAGTACATGCTTTTTAACCCATTCTATTCTAAAAGGTTGTCGCTTTAAGTGATCAATATTTTTCTGAGGAGATAAAATGATAGCATTACTGAACGAGAAGGAGTAAGTGTAACAACGGGACAGGTCACATGGAGTTAAGTACAGCTTAAACTAGTACTATAGCTAGACAAACTATTGCCGTTCTTATCAAATTATTATTACTACTTTTTTCGCTCGTTTATTTATTTAATTCCACATTGCCTTTTCCTGTTTCTATTTTAATAGTTATTCACATTACTTTCTCATTCCCTGTTGGGACTGCTGTCTGATTTCTCCTTTTTTGTTGTGGTTTTTGTCTAAACTGTCTTCTGCAAAATATTGTATTGTTTCTCTATGTATGAACCCCTTTTCCACCTCTTTTCATTAAGCTTCTTGGTCAGTGGATTTATTTTGAGAAAAGTAATCTCCTGCCATCTCCATCAAAACGATATGTGCATGAATAATGTATGCATTGAGTGAGGCCAGAAGGGCAGAATGTAAGACAGATCTGGGTGCCCAAATCTTAACCCTTTGAAAATTATGTTTGTTCGTTCGTTCGTTCATTCATCTATTTTTTAATTATCTTCTCCAAAAGTGTTTAGGTTTTAGAAAAATGTTTTGTGATGAAATGAGGTTTTACAAAGGTGGGAGTGTAGGCCCCACACTTCAGCTCCTTACCAGGAAGTGCTCACACACAAGAGCTGAATGGGAGTAGACCACAAGGCCGACCAAGTAGAAGGTGAGGGATGATTTATAGGCATACCTACAAACACTTTGATTCACTAACTGGAAAGAGAAAGTCAGTCAGAGAGATTAATAGTGTTGGGTAGTGTCCGCAGCAATGAACCTCTAGGGCAATGATTATCAACCTTCCTAAAGCCGTGACCCTTTAATACAGTTCCTCATGTTGTGGCGACCCTTTAATACAGTTCCTCATGTTGTGGCGACCCTTTAATACAGTTCCTCATGTTGTGGGGACCCTTTAATACAGTTCCTCATGTTGTGGCGACCCTTTAATACAGTTCCTCATGTTGTTGGGACCCTTTAATACAGTTCCTCATGTTGTGGCGACCCTTTAATACAGTTCCTCGTGTTGTGGCGACCCTTTAATACAGTTCCTCATGTTGTGGCGACCCTTTAATACAGTTCCTCATGTTGTTGGGACCCTTTAATACAGTTCCTCATGTTGTGGCGACCCTTTAATACAGTTCCTCGTGTTGTGGCGACCCTTTAATACAGTTCCTCATGTTGTGGCAACCCTTTAATACAGTTCCTCATGTTGTGGCGACCCTTTAATACAGTTCCTCATGTTGTGACAACCCTTTAATACAGTTCCTCGTGTTGTGGCGACCCTTTAATACAGTTCCTCATGTTGTGGCGACCCTTTAATACAGTTCCTCATGTTGTGGCGACCCTTTAATACAGTTCCTCGTGTTGTGGCGACCCTTTAATACATTTCCTCATGTTGTGGCAACCCTTTAATACAGTTCCTCATGTTGTGGCGACCCTTTAATACAGTTCCTCATGTTGTGGCGACCCTTTAATACAGTTCCTCATGTTGCGGCGACCCTTTAATACAGTTCCTCATGTTGTGGCGACCCTTTAATACAGTTCTTCATGTAGTGGTGACCCTTTAATACAGTTCTTCATGTAGTGGCGACCCTTTAATACAGTTCTTCATGTAGTGGTGACCCTTTAATACAGTTCCTCGTGTTGTGGCGACCCCCAACCATGCAAGTACTTTCGTTGCTACATCATAACTTCAATCAATATATGTTTTGCGATTGTCTTAGGCAACCCTTATGAAAGGTTCATTTGACCCACAAAATGGTCGCAACCCACAGGCTGAGAACCGCTGCTCTTGAATTTTGAATGATGAAGAAGTGTTTGTTTGTCTCCCTTTATTTCTTTTGACTTGTGGGTTTCACTGAAAGGACACCATAGTTACGTTGTATATTTTCCTCAGCTCTATTTGCTGGAATTCATTCACTTCTCTCTCTCTACTCTACACTAGTGATTTTATTCTTTTTCTTATGCTTTTTCAGAAGTTATTCATGAAATTTTCAAAGTATTTGTTGTTCAGAAGGTGTATATTTTGGTTACTTTAAGGGTAATTCTCATACGGCATAGTTGTCAATCATCCTTACAGCTAGGGCTTTTTTCCCTGATGGTATGAAGTACCAGCACCTTCTTTTTAAGGTCAACATTTAAACATTTTGGAGTTAGTAAAGTTCCGCTTTAAAAAAAAAACATAAAACTTATTGTTGAGTACCCACACTTTTTTTAGGGGGAAACCCCTGCCTAATTAAGTCCTTTTAAAACTAAACGTGCTAATTTTTTCAGTCACAAATACATGCATTAAGTGTTATCTCCTCTCCTGTGTCCCAGTCATGGTGCCATGTGACTTCTTCCTCTTTTCACATTTGATCAGAGCCTGTTAAAAAAATCTGACTACCTCGATGGCAGCTTTGGCTGTCTTTATTTTTCTCCCACATTCATTTATATTTCATTGAAGTTTGCAATAAAAGAAAAATTATAAAAAAAAGATTTTTTTTGCATGAAATTTATTGAAGCTAAGAGAGTTAGACCTCCTCACTTCAAAGAATTTTTAAACAATGCTGATCATTTTGAAAATTCTCAGATGTCCCCCTCCCTGCAAATTTCCCCAGCCCATGTTCGGTGAGATGGCTATTGACCCGGTATCTGGACTTCAACTCGGTGCCAAGACGGTCATTCTTTGAGTTGCTGAAATACCATGCAGATGATGAGTTAGAGCTGGAGAAGTTGGAAGAGTTTTGTTCCCCACAAGGACAGGAGGAGTTGTATTCTTACTGCAACAGAGTCAAGAGGACTATATTAGAGGTGAGCAGAACCTTGCAGTTATCGTATTTATGCTTGTAATTATTTTTGAGGCTGCACATATTCTTTCTGTGATTGAGGAATTGTGTGACTTCATAATTACGACATAGTGGGTTTGATTCATTTGCAGACACTTTGATAGCTTACTGCTTTGTATTGCTTTTCCCTGTATGAATTGCGGGGCCCCATTGGGGTGTTGGGGAGGGGGAGGGGAGAATAGACCCACTGCTCCCTAACAGGTATGGCATAAGAGTTGACTAATTAGGGATGTTTCTTTTAAAGTCGGTATGCATCTGCCTGAAAGGCAAGGAGCCAACTTCTGCATACAAATAAGCCAGATATGTAAAATAGATTGCATGCAAAACTCAGGTTCTGGAACAAGGTTTAAAGGTGCAGAAATGAATGAACAACCAGAACTTTAAGCTGGAGGTTACAGCCAGTAAACGTAAAGAAGAAGAAGCATTTCTTTGGCAGTGGTGTAATAATCGGCTGCTCAACAGCGTTAGGGAACTACTTGCTGAATGTAAAATTGCCCAGTGAAATCACAGCCAACAAATGCTAGGGTTAGTCTGAGATGTTCTGTAGAAGATAACATATTCTTACAGTTATGGTATTTCTGTTTATGACTGTCCCCAATATGGGGTCTGAGGCACCATTTTAGGGAAAACAAGAATAGTCCCACTGCTCCCCTAACAGTCATGACATACAAGACAACTAATTAGGGATGTTTCTTTTGAAGTCATAGTGCATCTGCCTAAGAGGCAAGCAGTCTGCATATAGATAAACCAGATCTGTGAAAGAGATGTATACTGAAAACATAAGTTCCGGAACAGGATCAAAGTCCAGAAGTAGACGAACAACCACAGCTTTCTGCTTGTTATTTACGGACAGTGAGTTCTAAGAAGACTCTAAGAATAAAAAGTTTATGATAATATTAAAAGCTGTCATATCCTTACAGTTCAAGTATTTCTTTTCCAGACAAAAGCTGTACAAAATGAGAATGAGAATAACAATAAAAACATCCACAACCATAATTCTACAGACATGACTCAGATGACCAGTTAAAAAGACCACCTCTCATCTATTGTGCATTATCTTTTGAACTCTGGCCAGATTGTAAACAAGAATGACATATTTTGAATTTTGTATATATTGACTAAAGCAGATTTGTGCAGACAAAAGGACATGGCCATAAACTTGTGCTTGCACTGGTAAAAAGTTACTTTTGTGTTTTGTTGATTTTGTATTTTTTTAGAAAAGCGTTTACTTATTTTGCTTCATTTAATTAAATTATTATTGTGGTATGCATCTGTCAAAATACAGTGAAATATGTCAGTCAGTAAATTGTGTGATCTGTTATTTATTCACTTAAGGTATTTCTGTTTATGATTATGAATGTTGCCTCAGTTTGTTTATATTTTCAAAAATAAAGCCTCCTGTGTCAACCTGTCCCAAAATTGGTACTGGATGAATGTCCTGGGAAGTAAAGGAGGCTGGCATAATAGACCAAATCACCTATCAAGTGCTGATTAGACTTTAAAAAATCTAGTTTAGCATCATATGCCCGATATGCCACTGGTGTGAAAAGGGTCCTTTACTTTTAATTTTCTTTTATTACCTCTATCCAGGGCGTTCTATTGATGGTACGCGATGGTATGCAGTATGGCATCCCTTTTTTAAGGCATTTATTTTTATCACTACTGTAATAGACACTTTATAATGTGTACCAGTATGTTTTATTAGACAGCTTGTGTTGAGTACCAGGACCTTTTTTCTATAAAAAAAAACCTGCCTCTAAGTTTGAAAGTTCTTTATTCTGTATGCTGTCAAAAATAGACTGATCGAAAATGAGGAGTGTAATTATTCTGTTTCAGGTGCTAGAAGATTTCTCCAAGACCACTGCCCGAGTACCTTTTGAATATTTCTTTGATTTGATTCCTGCACTTCAGCCAAGGGCATTTTCTATTGCTTCATCTCCAAAGGTAATATTGGTCTCCAACATAGAAGACTTCCATTTCTCTGTAGAGACAGGCAATATTATTCTTAGTCTGAGGCAGACAGAATCGAACAGTACAGATTCTGTTATAGATGTGTGAAGTGGTAGGAATACACATGTGCTGAGCTGTGGTTGTAAAAGCTAGGTTATCATCTCAAGTGCCTTGTTGACTGGCATGGTCGATCATGCCTCTCCACAACTTGCGATTTCCAACAGAACTCCTTAGCTCATGTGTGGACACCCCTGTCAAGAATCCTCTCGCATTGTATTGCTGTATTTCTCTTTTCACAAATTTCATATGTTCCAGCTTCCTTCTTCTCATAACATGGCTAAAACATGATGACTGCCTCTTTCTGATGTTTATGATAAGTTATCTTCAGGCGCTCATCTCTTTCAAAACATCTGGGTTACTCATTCTGACAATGTGAAACCACATCTCTGAGACCTCAAAAAATTGTTTGGCTTGTTAACCCTCTTAGCACGGACGGGCCGATTATCGGCCGGCGGATGTCTTGCCAAAAACACGGAACGGCCGATGATCGGCCCGATCGTGTTTCGCCTCGAACCGCTAAGAAATCTCCTACTTTGAAACACTGAAAGTGATTCATTTATATTAACTGCGGTATCAGCTTTACACATGGCGACTTTCGAGTGTTTGGTATCGAAGTGAAAATTGTTGTTGATTTTTTTAGATAGTGACCTGAACCGCTAAAAGTATGTCTGACTCGTATGTTTCTGCCCCTAAACTTGATGTTGATAAAACATTTGAATTAAGTGATGACACTAATTCTGTTGATACTGATGCAGGATCTAGTGTTAGTAGTAATAGTGGGAATCAGATGGGGACGCTGTTGTGTTCAGACCACAGCCCAACCATGGCTCAGGGTATATCCACCCGAAGGTGTTGACACTCCGGCTCATCCATTTCTAGTGCTGATTGATGGTGAAAAACACGTCACCTAAAGATATTATTGCTGTTTCACATATATATACCTGTTTTTGACTATTGAATTGCTTACAACATTTGTAAAAAGGCCAAGGATCAATAAAAAGATTTCAAATAAAAAAAAATTTTGTTTTTAGTTTTATGTTTCAAGCATTGAAGTTGAAAATTCAAATTCATATTTTCTATTTTTAGATATGCAAATGAGATAATTTGCATATACATCAATTAATTTTAACGATATTGTGAAAATCACGAACTTCAATCTATATCCTTCAAATAGATATATTATTTCATAGGGGTCAGAATAACAGAAATCTTTCAAAAAAATTAAATAAAGTAATAACCAAATTCACTGAAAAAATGCTCCGTGTTTTTGGCTAGACCTCTGAAAAACTTCCCGTGCTAAAAGGGTTAATGAATTATCTGGTATTCACAGCCAGATACTAACACTGGCTCTGTATGCCACTTTAAAATCTCTTACTGATATTTTGTATGTCTCAGTGTTTCTCCTGAGCATTAAACTTGAGTTTGTTGATGATGAATTACTTGATTGAAACCGACAGAGGAAACATAACCAGCCTAGGCCTGATCCCAGCCAGTCTGTATTTAATGTAGAAAGTAAGAGTGACGGAAGTTGAACAGTGTGATTTTCTTCGTAGCCATCAGGGGATGTAAACTCCAGCAGAAAGTTCATTTGTGGACTTGAGTTTTGCATGCGCATCCATTTGACAGATCTAGCCCCTCAGGCAGATCTACTCTGACTTTGAAAGAAACACCTCCAGTTAGTTGTCCTTTATGACATGCTTGTTAGGAAGGCAGTTCTATTCTTTTTTCCCGGCACTCATCACCAATTATCATCAAGTGCCCTGCCAGCTGGCGTAGGTGTTCATGAATCTTTACAGAGCTCGGTCTTTGGTGTTCTGGATCAATTCCACTGATAATATTCCTTAATGCCACTGTCTTAAGCGATCCACCATCAGTCCTCTAGGTCTGCCTCTGCCCTTTTCTACCAGTGATCTTTCCAGTGATCACAATATTTTCCAGTGTTCCTTTTCTCATCACATGACCAAAGAACTTTGTTTGTCTCCTTCTCATTGTTGTATATAATATTCTACTTTCATTAGCCGTTTCCAGGCAATCAGTGTTCTCCTACACTGGTGCTCTAAAACCCACACAGGGAGAGGGGGCGGGGGAGAGGGGGGGGGGGGGGGGAGCTGATGTCCAGAAGTAATTAAACACAGCATAAACTATGAGTAGGAAGCTAAGTGGGAAGAAAGGATTCATACAAAGATGTTAGGTTATCACAGTCAGTATCACCTCACATTGGGCATTCTCCTGCCTGCTCAGTTCTCCAATGCAGCAACCACTCCAAGGTACTTCCACTGATCATTCCTAGGAGAAGTTGGTTATAATGTCTCCTATCTTGGCCTCGCAGGCAGCATAGGCATGCTCCACTATCCATCCATCCAACAAACAAACAAAAACCTAAGTCTTTATCAGAGAATAAAACAACATGGGTCATGTTAACAAAAATGGACTGGGAATGTACACAACAGAAATGCATAGAATAGAGAAAAATAAAGAAAGGAAGAGCTGTTGCATTCATGTTTTGTTTGATCCTTTTTGTTAAAACTCATTTCCACTTTTTGAGTGAATTACAAAAGACAGCGAAGTTCATACTCGAGACAACATTGCAGATATTGATAATCTATTTCAAGTGAATGAAAGAAGAAGAAGAAGAAGAAGCTTTCCACTATACTAACCACATCACCTGTCAAGTGCTGACTGGTCTATATAAAATCTGGCTCTGGAACTTTTGCTCAATATGCCAATATCATGGGAATGAGCCTTTTTATTTAGAAACAAAATATTTCTGTGTTTTTTTCTCATAACAGGTTAAAATATATTTATTTCCATTCTACATTTTGAATTCTTCTTCTTCTTCTTCGTCTTCACCGGCTGTAAACTCTGGTGGAAAGTTCTGGATATTTGTCCACCTCCAGACTTTAGTCTTGTTCTAGAACATGAGTGTTGTGTGCACATCTGTTTTACACATCTGACTTATCTGTATGCAGACTGTAGGTTCCTCGCTTCTCAGGCAGATGCATTCCAACAAAGAAGCCCCCAGTTAGTTGACCCTTATGACATGCTTGTTGTTGAGGCAGTGAGTCTGTTCTTGTTTTTTCCCACACGGTGACATTTTGAATCGAAGAATAATATATACTTGATCTTCTAGGCTCATCCTAACGAACTTCATATACTGATGGCTGTTGTTAATTACCGCACAAAACTGCACCGGCCGAGGCGAGGTGTGTGTTCAACATGGCTGTCAAGCCTCAGTCCTGATGAGAATGTCTTGTCAGTTCCAATCTGGGTAAAGAAAGGAACAATCCAGTTTCCGAATGACCTCGCTATTCCCTTAATCATGGTAGGACCTGGTAAGTAGATGAAAAGTTATTTCTGTTTGGGAACTTAATTGAAGCTTCTTCTTCTTCTTCTACTTTCATCCTTAAAAGGACAGAAGTTGTTGTGTTGGGGTTTACAGCTAGACTGCAGTATCTGCACCTTTCAATGCAACATATCAGCTTTCAGCAGACCCTTAATTATTTGCTTTTTACGATATGCTTGTTGGTTGGGGTGGGGGGGGGGGGGGGGACAGTGGTTCTGTTCCTTCCCCCCCCCCCCCCCCACAAAATGGTGCCCTGGAACATACAAGGGGAACTTAATTAACTGAGATGCAGACTGTTATCTGTCTTGTGGTTAGTATGCATTATATTCTCATGTATGTATGTAAGTGTGTATATATATGTATGTGTGTATATGTATGAATGTATGGAACATGGCTAGGTGTTAAGATTTCTTTCTTTCTAAGTAGTATAGATGTATGCAGACAGTTCTATATCTGCTCCTATGTTAGACAGGTCAAGGGAGAGGAACCAGAGGCACAGCCCTGCGGTTTTGCAGATAGACTGGGAGCAGTCAGATTCTAGGGAAAGTAAACAAGAAAAAATACTTGTCAACACTGGATGTATGGAGCCACAGTCTTGATGAAACGGTGCATTTGATGAAAGCATATTCTCATGTTCCATACAGCTGTTACATTAACCCACTATATCTTTGTTTATTGTCAGGTATCATACGGGGGAGGGGGTGGGGGGGGGTCAATAAGTAAGTCACAAATGGTTGTTTAAAAAAAAAAAAACAACTAAAGATGATAACAACTTGAAAACTGTTTATTTTTACATATCAGTGGACCAAAAAAGTGGAAATCGCTAGGGGCTAAGTCGGGGATGTAAGGTGAATATTCCAGAAGTTTCCACCCTAGATGTTTTCTGCTGAGTTAACCGAGCGGTATGTGGTCTGGCATTGTCATGAAGGGGCAGCACTCCTCTAGTCAGCAGGCCTAGAGGTTTTCTTCAAATTGCATCATGAAAGCATTGATAAAACTTTAAAGTATGAATCAGCATGCACATTGTCACCTCTTTTTTTTTGGAAATTGGTTAAAAGCACATCTTGACAGTCCCAGAACACTGTCAGCATAACCTTCCTTGATGGCGTAACCTTGAATTTTTGAACACAAGGGGAAGAAGGATGTTTCCATTGCATTGGAGCACACTTTGATTCGGGTTGGTAGTGATGCACTCATGATTCGTCCCCAGTAATAATCCTGCTCAGCATGTCTTCTCCTTCATCTGCATATTGACAGAGATGCTACAAGAAAAGGCCTGATCGGTTCATTTTGTGTTTGTCAATCAATTGTCTGGGTACCCACCTTGAGCACACTTTCTTAAATTTCAATTGATCATGCATTATGTTGTATGCTGAAACATGTGAGCACCCTATTGCAGCTGCTACAGAGTCAACCGTTACTCGCCTGTCACCTCTAATCATCTCCTCCACCCACTGCACGGATGCTTCTGTTGCAGTCTCAACATGATGACCAGATCAGACTTCATCAACAATTTTAGTATGTCCTTGATAAATTGTTTTTACCCAGCTGTGTACCACTTTACGAGATAAACATTTGTCAGCATAAACAGGAAACGTTTCCTTATTAATGTCCTTTGCAGGCAGCCCTTTTCCCCCCAAAAAACACACAAAAGCATGTTTTTCTTTGAGGGTACACTCCATAAGTACAGTCGCCATTTTGTTTTTGTGTTGCGAATGTGCATGCCACCCTTAGTGCCACCTAAAGATCGGGGACATAAAGTTTGATGTTGCTGTCACCTAATAACACCTTTAGAAATCACCAACTACATTTTCCTGTCGTCCCATAGCCATTGTGCCAATGACCATTGGGACTTACTTATTGACTTCGCCTCGTACAGTGTCTCTGCAGTACCACTTGAGCTCTGCCCTTATTGCCGCAGACCATTTGTGAGCTGGTCTTGCTTGTCATGCTTACCCTTACCATCATTTGTGATTCCTATGTTTCTCTATAGCATACTGTAACACTGTTGCTTGGACAGATGGAAAAGTTGCAGGCAACAATCTATGATTGCTTTAACTCCTTCTGCTCCAGCTGTAAGCCCAACCATGTCTTAAACCAGCGAGTAACAGTTACAAAGAGCAAATGTCTTGTGTTATAATGTGTATTGTCTCTTCTGATACTTCTTTTCAAAACTCCATGTCCGAAGAATCTTTGTTTAATGTTTCAGGCACAGGCTTAGCCCCCTTCAGAAGTGTCATCCATGACAGATGTACAGGTAGTCATGGAGGTAAGCATTACATCAGCCTGTCAGTTATTTCAGATGTAGATTCTTTAGCAAGAACTTCGTCCTATATTTCTTCTTCTTTGCATTCACTGGCAGAAAGTTCTGGTTATTTGTCCACCTCTGGACTTTAGTCTTGTTCCAGAACCTGCGTGTTGCATGCAAATCTATTTTGCAGATCTGGCTTTTTCTATGCAGACAGTTGGTTCTTTGGCTTTTAGGCAGATGCACTCCGACTTCAGAGGAATGCCCCCAATTAGTCGACTGCTATGACATGCTTGTTGGGGAGGCAGTGGGTCTACTCTTGTTTTCCCTACAATGGGACCCTAGAACCCACGCAGAGAATCCCATAGTTGATGATAACGTTCCCTCATGACCTGGTTGCATCCTAATGTGTGTCCCCGCAGATGTAAAGTTACAGTACCTGTATTGTACAGCCCAGTATTTTCTTGGCTTAGAGAGGGCAACTAAGTCGATGCGAACGCTTCGCTTCGAAATGCCGGGATGCCGGGTTCGATCCCAGTTGCGGGCAATGCGCCTTGCGCTGGTTTCGACAGTGGTATCAAGAAAGCCGACCGTCCAGTAAGCAATGGCAAACTACTGGACGTAAATTTGCCAAGAGAAACCACACAACAGCCAGGGGCTGTTAGGGTTGGTTCTGCAACGTCCTGTAAAGGATACGCAACTAACTAGAGAGGGCAAGGATAACTGTACAACCGTCATTAAGGGGACTGTACTTTGATAGATGATTGGGAAGACAATTCCTGCATATCCCTGTCTCTGAAACTTATGCTGGATGATTAGTGGTGTTCATCTCTCATGATAGTTTGAGTTGTTTCATAAGCCCAAATGTCCTACATTTTACACAACCCCTGTTATCACATTGTCTTATCATTTTTGAAAATGGTTCATTTAGTCTGATACCACACATTGTTGATGAGGTTTGAAGTGTTAGACCTTTCACACATTCCTGTCCATGACATATGAGATAGAATGGCTAATTCTCTTCCTCATTGCCTGTCCTTCCCTGAATATGTGTAGAAAATTATAGAAATAATTCTGTATCCATTTTTATAAAACTATGTTAACTTCGGAGCCATGCAACATCTGGTGATTGGCTTGGGTCCTGGGTGAATCCAGCCTAAAATGGATACTTGTTAATGTCCTGGGAAGTAAAGGTGACCCGCGCGATGTTGACCCCATCAGCCATCGAGTGCAGACTAGTGTTTAAAAATAGTCTAATGTTATATGCCTGATGGGTCAAAGGTGTGGGGGGGGGGGGGGAAGTATCTTTAGGGATTCATCGTGTCCCATAGTTTTGGCAGACAGGTGCTTTGATCGATGTGTCACTGTGGTTTTTGTTTTAACTGCTTCATATCCAGACACTAAAAATTTCAAGTAAGTTGTACCTGGCATTAAAAGAAGGAAAGACCTGGGCAGAAAGAAATTAGTTAGTTAGTTAGTTAGTCTTTCCTCTTGTGTCGAGTGCGGCACATAGGGCAGAGGTCATGACTCTCCATGCATGGCGGTTCGTTGCAACCTGTTGTAGGTCTTGGATGTTTGAGTGGCCCATGAGTGAGCCTTCCCTGATGATAGTTCTACGTAGGGTTTCCCTTGGTCTTCCACGAGATCTTTTCCCCTGTGGTGTCCAAATGAGGGCTTGGTAAGGAAGTCTTGATTTATCCATTCTGAGGGTGTGGCCGACATAGTTCCAGCGGCGTTTTCGTATAAAATTAGACACATACTCTTGCCTGGATTCTTGCCTTATTAGAAATGCAATAGTATTTTAGAGTAAAACTGTTGGGAAATTCTATTGTTAACTTCATCTTATAGGTTTGGTGCTGTTCTTTGGGTGTCGTAGCCAGTTCAAGGACTTCTTTTGTGCTGATGAATTTAGAAGCCTAATAGAGGCAGGGCATCTCCAGATGTTCACGGCTTTCTCTAGAGATCAGGTATTTTTCACGGCTTTCTCTAGAGATCAGGTATTTTAAGTTGTATGTGTTATTTTTTTATATTAACTAGCATTAACTTCTGTTTGATGTGTGCTTTTTTTTTCCCCATGCAAAGTAAAGCTGCTATTTATTGTCAGTATTGGAATGTGCTTTTATTGTCAGAAAGTTGAAGGATAGAGGATGGAGTATTTCATTATCGTTATGCTTTTATGCTGTTTATACATCTGATTTATTGATTTAAGAATCAACACCATAGCACACAGGACATACCTAGAGATGCTCCGTCTCCAACAGCTAATGTCTTAAGGTGTAAGTGCTGACTGTTACTGTCTTCTAGTCTTCATCTTTTCTTCCTCTCCCTCCATTTCCCTCCTGTCCCTCTCCTAGTCCTTCCACTTTTTTTTTTTTTTAGCCGAGGCAAATTTGTTGTTGTTGTTGTTGCTTCTGCCAGACGGTGGCCATTGCATTTTTGCTCCATTTGTAGACTGGAAGGATATAGTTTCGTCGCCCAGCTTTCGAGTTGAGTGCATGGTGTGAGCTATGTGTGTTTTTCGTTTGCGCAAGAGTGGAGCAACTATGGGGTGATCCGTTTGCTATGAAGCTGAAACTAGGATTACCAGATTACCAGATCCTAGTCCTAAAATAATTATTCATCACATCATTAAAAGTAAAACTGGGATGCTTTTGACATCAGAAGCAAATCTGGCATTTGATGCGAGTCTCTAATGTGTTTGTTTTTTAGACCAATCAGAACTTTGTGGATGATATAGTCAACATTACACCGGTCACCTTTACTTCCTGAACATTACCTGGTTCACATTTTAGACTGGGTCGACGTGGGAGCCAAAGTCAGTTTGGAAGAAAACTTGTGGATTTAGTTTCTTCATTTTGTTCTGTCTTGTGCATTTTTTTAAAATATTGTATATGGAGTCTACTCCAGCAACTGTGACCTGTCATCACTGTTCATCATGGGATCTTTCTTAGATATCCTCACTTCCTCGGTCCCTTTGTTTTCCATTTCAGTGACTGTTTTGTAATTCTTTGTCTCCTTTATCTTAAAATGTGCCCGGTATATTGCCGTCTTCTTTCTCTTATAAATGTTGATACCAACTGTATTCTAGGCAATTCTCTGATTTCTTTGCTGCTCATGAATGTACCTCATTGAATGTTCACCAGTAGCCTGCGGCATTTGTTTTGAAATGCATTAAAAAAAAAAAATAAGTAAGATAATTTTAGCAACCGCAAAAATAATTATATACTGATAATTTAACTTGGGAGTTATCATAAAATGAAAAATCACGCACTATTATACTTGGAGTTATTATAAAAAGAAAAATCACATACTGTTATTCTTTTTATAAACTGCTTTAGGACGAGAAAATATATGTTCAGCACAGACTCAGAGAAAATGGCAGCCTTGTGTGGAAAATGATTCACGAGGAAAGAGCTTCTTTTTTTATAGCAGGGTAGGTACATATACAAGAAAGAGTATTATGTTATATTTTATTATTATAGTCTTGAAGAATTAGAGAGCTAAGAAGAGCAACCAAGATGTTATGAAAGAGGAGAGGGCACAAAGACAGCTTTTCACCAACTTCAGAAAGAAACAGTCATCATTGTTAGTCATATTATGAAAAGAAGGAAACGTAATCACTGGAAAGATCTGTGGGGGGAAAAAAACAACCAGAAGACGACAGCGTGAGAACATTCTGATCAGCCTTTTCTCATGGCATGGAGGGGTGTCAACACACGAATTGAGACATGCTGTTAAAGATCACAGATTGTGGAGAGGCATGATCGCCCAGGCCAGTCAGAAAGGCTCTTGATTGTAATGTTGAGTAAAGTAAAAAAAAAAAAAAAAAAAAAAGACCCATTTATGCCAGTGGCAACCCTGGCACATGGGGCCTAGACTGGTTATAGTTATAGACCTTTCAGCGCTTAATCGGAGATGCGGTTAACATCACGCCGACCGTCTTCACTTCCCTGTACATTTCCTGGTACCTATTTTAATTTTGGCTGACTTTAGAACTAATTAAAATTAAAAACAATCAGCATCAATGCAGATTAGAACGCAAGACATTCAGACTGGCTGGCAGTCATCCAGCTACAGAACTCAGAAAAAAGTGGAAGGTAAGACTTTATTAAATATTAAGTGTGTTTCCCTGGTCACCTTTATTTTTCCCCTGTGAAAGAGTCCATGGTTTCATTCTGAAATCAAGGGCCTTTTTCATACCATTGTTGCATCGGGCTTGTGGTGCCAGATCCATATTTTGTAGACCAGTTAGGACTTGGTGAGTGATGCGACCAACATCTTGTCAGCCAGCTTTACTTCCCAAGATATTGCCTGGTACCCATTTTAGGCAGACTTGACCTTAGATTCCAAGTAATTATAACAGATCTACTCTTACACAAATTTGAACCGCAAAACCTTTAGGTCGACTAGCAAGCATCTAGTAAATGCATTTCTAGGCCATTAGAAACCTTTTAAAAATATTGCTATCATTCGTTGAGGAGCGGCTGGCCGAAGGGTTTGAACGCTGGGCTCTCAAGCGGGAGACCTTGGTTCGAATCCTCGGTGAGGCTGGGGATTTTTTTTCGTGGCGACAGCACTAGCCATGTGGTTGTAAATCCTCAGACTCAAAGACCCCCCTGCCTGCACCAAATAAGTGGTAATAAAGGCAGTTTTTGACAGTTGTTTTCTTCTATCCTTTGTTGCAATATCTTTATTGATGACATAAAATATGTTATTAAAATTAACCCTTTTCATAGAACTTTCTGATTTGATCCTGTTGTAGCAATGCCAAGAATATGCCAGATGATGTCAAGGAAGCAGTTTGTGATGTTATCAGCAAATATGGCTCCATGAGTGCAGAGAATGCCATGATGTACATACAGAACTTGGAGAAAGGCAGAAGATTTCAAGTGGAGGCTTGGTCTTAGGCTGAAGTTATGTTTATGTGCAGGGAAAACCCTTTTAGGTATTTCAACATCCTGATTTCAGACATGATGAAGAGGGTATTTAAAAGATAAGAAAGTAGCACACCAGCTCTATGACCAGATTCAGAACTTGTGTGTTATGTGATAGTTCTACATTAATGGAAGCTTTTTAGGAGAATACCCATGTGATGCCTCTGGCTTTTGAGACCAAACACCAGTCAATGAGGCTTCCAGAGCTACTGACATGTTGCTGTGGACGGTGCAACAGACATATGTACTTTTCTAATAAAAGTGCAGAAACACACTGCTACTGAAAGGAATATAATTTTGTCATAAGGGTAATATTCAAAGTCTTTGTACTTTATTGAGTGAAATTCTTCATATTGCACACAAGAAAACCTTAGGGTTCAACCAACTGACAGTTCTTTTGCATCTGGGTCACAAGCTAGATGTTGTGAAGGTCCTTTGGGAGCAAGTGAACAGTGCCGAGGCACTAATAAATCATTATGGTCTGAGGAGAATGGCGCTGCGAGGAGTTGCTAGAGGAAGAGGGAGGCATCTAAATCCAGTATTAGTCATGCAACAGGACTTATGAGATGAGGTTTCTGTGGAAAAAAGGTTCCTACAGAATTTTCTCAACTGGATTCTAAACCAGCGCTATGGGAGTGGGATGACTAAGCCTCTAAGCTATTTTACAATTTCCCTGTTTTGTTGATGTACATAAATTATCTAGTTGGTAGGTAGGTAGGTAGTTGTACCCTACCAGGACATCACACAAGCGATAAACACCCGGTGACACAAAGTGCCACCATGCGGATGATGATCACCAGTGGAGAGGTCCCAGAAACCCCTTTCAGCCGTTTAGGCCATATCTATGGCTAGGCCATGTTTATGGCCTAGCTATATTCAGGGCCCCCGGTAAAAGCCAGAGTGGGGCTTCAAAATAACGAAGATTGCATCCCATGAGAGGATGACTTATACATTTATCTAGTACAGTGCAGACCGCCTAAGGCAATCTCGGATGTTGGAAATTTAGATTGTGAAAAATAATCTATGCATCTTCAGCAATTTTTCTTCCTCCAGCTCTTATCTGGATAAGAAGAATTTATAATAAGGAGAACCATTTTTGAGTCCCTGTGAGTACTCCTTATCAGGTCTGCACTGTACATGTGCATCATTTATGTTTCCAAGGAAATTACTTCTTAGTAAATTCACAATAATAAATTACAGAAACAGATGACTTTATGTTAGATTTTTATTTTTCTGATTAAAATGTACATAAGTGCTATTGTTACTGAATGTGCAGTATAGTCAAGTAAGCTATAACGGATTTATGACTAAAAAGTCAGTACAAAATCTATTATGTAGACAACAGTAATAAGTAAAAGTAAGTAAAAGGACCCTTTTCCGCACCTTCTGGCATATAGGGCTAGACCGGTGTGTGTGTGATGTGGTCAATATCACACTGACCACCTTTACTTCTCCAGATTTTACCTTGGACCCATTTAAGGCAGGGTCGACCTGGGAGCCAAGCTCATTTTTTTGAAATAGTCAGGCTCTGTCAGTACCTGAACCTGCTACCATCGGATCTGGAGGCAAATGTCCAGCTACACCGCGGCGGCTCCCAGCAACAGTAATACCATGATAAAGTAGTAAGTAACGGACCTGTTTCACATTAGCAGCACATCTGGCACAGGATGCTAGACTCATGTTTTTTATAGACCAATCAACACTTAAAGGGGGGGGGGGGAACATCACTCTGCCCGCCTTTACTTTCCAGGACTTTACCTGGTAACCAAATCAGACTGGGTCGATCCAGGAATACTGTGATATTACCATAACTAGCTGACATAATGTGAGGAGGTGGCCCGGTGAGGTAGCAAGACCTCTCTCCTCACTTTCTTACAGGAAGTCCTAGAAACAGACATTGTGTGGGCAACCTAGGCAGGTTAGACCATATGAAAGTAAAGTGAAGAACCCTTGTTTTCACGCTAGGGGCATGTCAGGATTATGATGCTGGACTCACATTTTTAAGACCTGTATGCATTTACTCAGTAATGTCAACACTGCTATGGCTGCCTTTACTTCCCAAGCTTCACCTGGTGTGCCTGTTTACTCCAGTTGTTTCCCCTTTCAAAGTGTGACCGATACAAGTAGATTATCTCCTACTGATGCGAGTAATCATTTCTCCTCATCAATTAATTTCTTTAAGAACATCTTCATGACTTTTGTTATCTGCCCATGGTGTTCCCATCACTGATCAGTAACGCGGCGTCTATGCAGCTTCCACATAAAAAACTGTCACTACTGTCTTTAATAGCTTTTTAGGGCAGTGTAGGTGGGGTAAGGGTTTAGGGCCACATGGCTAGTGCTGTCGCCAAGAACTGTGCAATTTAGGATATTTTTTTGGGGAGGGGGGAGGGAAAGGAACTATCACTGTAAGGGCAAGTTCGTGATAAGTACAGAGAATAGATCCACCGCCTCCCTAAAAACGCTGTAAACAGCAACTAGCTGGAGGATTACAGAAATCAGATGTCGTGGGCTGAAAGGCACAGATATTGCAGCCTATATGAAAACCACAACACAGTTTGCCATCCGCCCTTTCAAAGATGAACGCAGAAGGTTCTCTGATGCTCAGTGTTACCGCTTCTTGGGTAGAGTAATGACATTGACATCAATCGGTTCTGTGTGTGAATCTCCATAAAACACTGTACAAAATCCAGGGAACTGACACAGCTCCCAGAGCGCCAGTCGGAAGTTTCCGCTCATCAGCAGAAGTACAAAGAACTGCCCGAAGCTGGAGCTGACCCCCAGCCAGAAAAAGTAGAACTGCAGTTTGTGGCTGACTTCTGCCTCTGTTATTTCCTTGACCAAGCTGTGGAAGAGCAGACTTGATGTTATGAGTTTGTGATAATTTCAGCTAATTTAACTTCTAACCCAATTCAACTTGTACGATTATAAGTAATTTACTGCAGGTAAAATAATTACTATTGTCAAACAGTGAACTGGAGTTGTGTGTAGAATAATGAATTTTGTCATGGTTTGGCAACAATGTTGGCGGAACTAATGTTGCAAAGGTCACTTAGCGTGCCACCTGTGTTCTATATATATATATATACTTTTTAATTTGCAACAATCATCAATCTGTGATGTGCAAAAGCACATCAGATAGTGGGAAAATTGACATCGCTTTTGACACGCAGAAAGATATCTTTATCTACCAAGATATATCTAACAAGATTATTTTGGCCAGCGTTATGCTACCGGAGTCAAATATGGGCCCTTACCCTAACTAATGAGCCAAAAAAATCATAAAATCGCTGTCTGGGGGTGACAGTTTCAATTCCCGGCCTGGTACTATAGCTTTAGATTTTTTTACTTCTATCTATGAGTGCCAATCAATACATTTTCTGTTACTTTATTAATATATCATATTTAAGATCAAAGGGGTTCCCCTCAGTTTATTTATGTTAATGATGTATACACACTGGGACCTACCAATCAAATACCTTTCTTAGAAATGTTTGTGTATTCTAGACAAAGCATTAAGGTCTACTGTGTTTTTAAATTGTGGCTGTGCTTGTTATTGGGCCTATGCTTCGTTAATATAAATTTTTGAAACCTATGGTGTTATTTCAATGGTTTGAAATGAATTCTGTCCGTATTCCATAGTTGTGGATTTCAAGCTGTGCGATAGACATGGCCAATAAGACACCTTTTGGGGGGGGGGGGGGTGCCTAGTTGACCATGTTCTTAGTGCACTTGTTTCCATAGCGAGGCGCCCACACCGTCTAGATGTGACAGGTTTGATTCCTGGTACAGTAACTATAGCTTGAGATTTTTATGTTGTCTAGTGTGTTTTATCTTCCTACATCTTTCTATGAGTGCCGGTCAATACATTTTCTGTTACTTTATAAATATATAATATTTAATAACCTCAAGGGTTCCTCGTCTGTTTATTTATGTGAAGAATGAACCTGGCTGCCCCACAGATAAACACACAAGATGGCTTTTCACACTGGCAGTTATAAAGCAGGAACTACTTACAAGACAATGAGAAAAGGAGTCCACACAACAGCAAACAGTGCACACATAACAAATGTGATCTGGTAGTTGCGTGGTCGAGAAGATAGGTCCACAAATACTTTCTCATAAAACTGGATCCTGCGTTTAAAGGACCTATACAATTGAAATATTGGAAATGTACAAATATATTTAGTCATAATAGTAATAATGAAAAACATGATACAAACTTGCTTAAGAAGAACACTTGGTTAACATGAAAAAAAAAGTTGGGTCCCAACAGGGATGTACGTATTATTAATCCCTAGTAAGCGCTGATTTTTGTTAAAACACTTTGGGTCCCAAAAATTTATTACTTTTGCGGTTAAAGTAATGTTAATCTCCCCAAATAGAGTAAGTCACTTTTCATTCACAAGTTTGTTGGGGTGGTCGACTTTCCTGAAGGTTACGGGTGTGTCCCGCTCTGTTGTTTGCTTTCTGCTTTGTCTTGCATTCACGTTTTCATTCCCAGAAAGAGAATGCCTGTGACATAGGTTGCAGCACTCTTGGAAAGGGGGGGGGGGGTGTTAGGGCCAGTTTCTCCGTGTTTTTGGAGTGTTAAAAGCACTGGTGTGTTGAAATATACAACACGTGATATCAAAAGAATTTTGTAACACCTCCGTAACCTTGTGCCAAGGTGACAGGTTCAGGAACTAAAAATCAGAAGTGAGCTAGTGTGTATATGGGCGGAGCGTGGAGAGATTAACGTTACGTTCACCTACTTTTGCTCCTCCTATTCCAAGGAGTTCGGCTCTAAATCAATACATACTTATGCCTGAAGGAGTTCAGCAAAGACACTTAAACTCACAAGAGGTTAAACCAATAGTTCTGATACAAAGGGATACTATACGAACTATCTGTGATACAAGACAGCAAGGATATCACAGTATCTTTGTAACTATCAAGTAATATGTGGTGAGTTATTTGGTAGTGAAATAGTTAAACAAACACCGGATTTTTGGACCCTTGAATTGGTGTTAACGAGATTTTAATGCAATAAAATATTTTGTATATCCTTTTCAAGTCGTTGCTGATAACTTTGATTGATTATTTCACTTGTATTAATGCGCTTGTTGTCCTTTCCCTAATTAATGTGCTTCTTGTCCTTTCCCTCATTAATGTGCTTCTTTTCCTTCTCATTAATGTGCTTCTTGTCCTTCCCCTCATTAATGTGCTTCTTTTCCTTCCCCTCATTAATGCGCTTCTTGTCCTTTCCCTCATTAATGTGCTTCTTTTCCTTCCCCTCATTAATGTGCTTCTTGTCCTTTCCCTCATTAATGTGCTTCTTTTCCTTCCCCCTCATTAATGCGCTTCTTTTCCTTTCCCTCATTAATGTGCTTCTTTTTCATTCCCCTCATTAATGTGCTTCTTGTCCTTCCCCTCATTAATGTGCTTTTTTTCTTTCCCTCATTAGTGCACTTCTTTTCCGTTCCCTCATTAATGTGCTTCTTTTCCTTCCCCTCATTAATGCGCTTCTTGTCCTTTTCCGCATTAATGCGCTTCTTTTCCTTCCCCTCATTAATGCACTTCTTTTCCTTTCCCTCATTAATGCACTTCTTTTCCTTTCCCTCATTAATGCACTTCTTTTCCTTTCCCTCATTAATGCACTTCTTTTCCTTTCCCTCATTAATGTGCGTCTTTTTTTCCCCCTCATTAATGCACTTCTTTTCCTTTCCCTCATTAATGTGCTTCTTTTCCTTCCTCTCATTAATGCACTTCTTTCCCTTTCCCTCATTAATGTGTGTCTTTTCCTTCCCTTCAATAATGCACTTCTTTTCCTTTCCCTCATTATTGTGCTTCTTTTCCTTTCCCTCATTAATGTGCTTCTTTTTCCTTCCCCTCATTAATGTGCTTTTTTTCCTTTCCATCATTAATGTGCTTCTTTTCCTTCCCCTCATTAATGCCCTTCTTTTTCCTTCCCCTCATTAATGCGCTTCTTTTCCTTTCCCTCATTAATGTGCTTCTTTTCCTTCCCCTCATTAATGCGCTTCTTGTCCTTTCCCTCATTATTGCGCTTCTTGTCCTTTCCCTCATTAATGCGCTTCTTTTCCTTCCCCTCTGTTGATATTTTGGCACTAAATCACCAGTTGTTGGTGATTGTTTCTTTTATGTTACTCTACACTTTGATTTATGTGTATGGTTTTCTCCAAATTATTGTTAAAAGCGCTTAGTATTTTTTTTTTTTTTTTTGTAGTCTGCCTCTTTTTAATCCCATTTTTAAAATGAGGGGTTTAGGGGTTTCGTAGAGTCTTGTCAAAAATTCAAAAGGGTGCCACTTGAAAAATGTTGAAAACCACTGGTCTGTGGCATCTCGTTGATGTTTAATGCCTCTTCAAAACCTGACAATGAAAGGCATAACAGGACTAGAAGAGGGAGAGGAGAAGAAGAAGAGGAAAAGACGAAGCAGAAGAAGTTCTAGAAATATCACTGTGTCAAGAAGTCTGCCGGAAGGAATGACTACCACCACTACACAACACTGACTACTACCAGCACTACACAACATTGACTACTACCAGCACTACACAACATTGACTACTACCACCACTACACAACATTGACTACTACCAGCACTACACAACATTGACTACTACCACCACTACACAACATTGACTACTACCACCACTACACAACATTGACTACTACCAGCACTACACGACATTGACTACTACCACCACTACACAACATTGACTACTACCAGCACTACACAACATTGACTACTACCACCACTACACAACATTGACTTCTACCACCACTACACGACATTGACTTCTACCACCACTACACAATATTGACTACTACCAGCACTACACAACATTGACTACTACCACCACTACACGACATTGACTTCTACCACCACTACACAATATTGACTACTACCACCACTACACAACATTGACTACTACCACCACTACACAACATTGACTACCACCACCACTACACAGCATTGACTACTACCACCACTACACAACATTGACTACTACCACCACTACACAACATTGACTTCTACCAGCACTACACAACATTGACTACTACTACCACTACACAACATTGACTACTACCACCACTACACAGCATTGACTACTACCACCACTACACAACATTCACTACTACCACCACTACACAACATTGACTACTACCACCACTACACAACATTAACTACTACCACCACTACACAACATTGACTGCTACCACCACTACACAACATTGACTACTACCACCACTACACAGCATTGACTACTACCAGCACTACACAACACTAACTACTACCAGCACTACACACAACATTGACTACTACCAGCACTACACGACATTGACTACTACCAGCACTATACGACACTGACTACTACCAGCACTACACAACACAGACTACTACCAGCACTACACGACATTGACTACTACCAGCACTACACAACATTGACTACTACCAGCACTACACAACATTGACTACTACCAGCACTACACGACATAGACTACTACCAGCACTACACGACATTGACTTCTGCCACCACTACACAACATTGACTACTACTAGCACTACACGACATTGACTACTACCAGCACTACACAACGTTGACTACTACCACCACTACAAAACATTGACTACTACCACCACTACACAGCATTGACTACTACCAGCACTACACAACACTGACTACTACCAGCACTACACACAACATTGACTACTACCAGCACTACACGACACTGACTACTACCGGCACTACACAACATTGACTACTACCAGCACTACACAACATTGACTACTACCAGCACTACACAACATTGACTACTACCAGCACTACACGACATTGACTTCTGCCACCACTACACAACATTGACTACTACCAGCACTACACAACATTGACTACTACCAGCACTACACAACATTGACTACTACCACCACTACACAGCATTGACTACTACCAGCACTACACAACACTGACTACTACCAGCACTACACAACACTGACTACTACCAGCACTACACAACATTGACTACTACCAGCACTACACAACATTGACTACTACCAGCACAACACAACAATGACTACTACCACCTCTACACAACATTGACTACTACCAGCACTACACAACATTGACTACTACCACCACTACAAAACATTGACTACTACCAGCACTACACAACATTGACTACTACCACCACTACACAACATTGACTACTACCAGCACTACACAACATTGACTACTACCAGCACTACACAAAGTTGACTACTACCAGCACTACACGACATTGACTACTACCAGCACTACACAACGTTGACTACTACCAGCACTACACAACATTGACTACTACCACCACTACACAGCATTGACTACTACCAGCACTACACAACACTGACTACAACCAACACTACACAATATTGACTACAACCAGCACTACACAACATTGACTACTACCAGCACTACACAACATTGACTACTACCAGCACTACAAAACATTGACTACAACCAGCACTACACAATATTGACTACTACCAGGACTACACAACATTGACTACTACCAGCACTACACAACGTTGACTACTACCAGCACTACACAACATTGACTACTACCAGCACTACACAACATTGACTACTACCAGCACTACACAACGTTGACTACTACCAGCACTACACGACATTGACTACTACCAGCACTACACGACACTGACTACTACCAGCACTACAACACAGACTACTACCAGCACTACACGACATTGACTACTACCAGCACTACACAACGTTGACTACTACCAGCACTACACAACGTTGACTACTACCAGCACTACACAACGTTGACTACTACCAGCACTACACAACATTGACTACTACCAGCACTACACAACATTGACTACTACCAGCACTACACAACGTTGACTACTACCAGCACTACACAACATTGACTACTACCAGCACTACACAACATTGACTACTACCAGCACTACACAACGTTGACTACTACCAGCACTACACAACGTTGACTACTACCAGCACTACACAACGTTGACTACTACCAGCACTACACAACATTGACTACTACCAGCACTACACAACGTTGACTACTACCAGCACTACACAACATTGACTACTACCAGCACTACACAACGTTGACTACTACCAGCACTACACAACATTGACTACTACCAGCACTACACAACGTTGACTACTACCAGCACTACACAACGTTGACTACTACCAGCACTACACAACATTGACTACTACCAGCACTACACAACATTGACTACTACCAGCACTACACAACGTTGACTACTACCAGCACTACACAACGTTGACTACTACCAGCACTACACAACGTTGACTACTACCACCACTACACAACATTGACTACTACCAGCACTACACAACGTTGACTACAACCAGCACTACACAACGTTGACTACTACCAGCACTACACAACGTTGACTACTACCAGCACTAAACAACATTGACTACTACCAGCACTACACAACGTTGACTACTACCAGCACTACACAACGTTGACTACTACCAGCACTACACAACGTTGACTACTACCAGCACTACACAACGTTGACTACTACCAGCACTACACAATGTTGACTACTACCAGCACTACACAACGTTGACTACTACCAGCACTACACAACGTTGACTACTACCAGCACTACACAACGTTGACTACTACCAGCACTACACAACGTTGACTACTACCACCACTACACAACGTTGACTACTACCAGCACTACACAACATTGACTACTACCAGCACTACACAACATTAACTATAGTAAGAAGAATGAGATAATCAGACTACAGTAAGCTACAATAACCGGAAACACTTACTTGGTGAAGAGATAAGCATTGGTCACAGCGAGAGCCATGACACTAGGCAATGAAGCCAAAGCCCAAGCTGTCAACGTGTAGGCGATCTTCTGTGTGCTGTCCACCATGCAGACAAACGTAGACTCGCTGAACGTTGCAGACTGGTTACAGATATGACAGTATTCAAAATTAACGTGTGTGTGTGTGTAAATATTTAAATGAATTGTATCAACTGCATGTATTTAGCTCTTTTATGACGGTATAGGACAGAAGGGACAGGAAGAAGTTTATCAGCAGGCTCTGTAGGGAGCTTCGAGCAAGACGCCTAGTTCATCCACTGCACCTAGGATAATTTCCAATCGTCTCGACATTGTCCTGCCATTGGATCAAGATGGAGATATGCGAGAGAGTGAGGTCGACAAATTGTGCAACTCTTCCTCGTTTAAATCCAAGTCCGTGCTCAAGTCACTTTAATCCAGCTACTACTTTGGATGAAAGTGGTCTTTATCACTCGTGACGGACGAACAACACGTGTGTATAGCCAACTTATCGTGCCCGAATACTTCCATCAACGACAAACTGCATTGTGGTGGCGACTGTTAGCGTTGGCGTCTCTGGCAAGTGCCATATACATTTACTGCGAGCGCATATTTCTAGATTGTTTCGAGATTAAATGTTTGCTCACCAGTTTTTCAAATGGAACAGTGAAAGACATTTTATTTTCACGGGCACATGAAAGGAGCAAGTATGGGGAAACCCGATTGCAGTAAAGTTGAAGCCTCGACAACACACAGAGCGACAAACACCCGATGACACAAATTGCCACAAGGCTGATGAAGATCACCCATTGAGAGGTCCCAGAAACCCCGTTCAGCCATTAGGCCATATTTATGGCTAGGCTATATTTATGGCCCCCTGCAAACGTCAGGGTTCGGCTTCAAACAACGAAAAACTGCATCCCACATGGGGGCGGCTAGAGTTTAATAACAAGTATGTGTTCTCAGCAATCTTCTCAACGGTATATTAGCTGAGATTTAAGGATTGCACAGACACAACAAACAGAAATATAGTGACGTGAGAAAACTGACTTTTAAACTTTTTTTTTTTTATCTTGAAAAAGTGCATTGGTTGGTGTCTTTAGTATTAACTTTTCAATGCTAAATTGTTTACAAATGACATAAATTGTGTGTGTAATCTATTCTACGAATGCTAAACTTTACAAAAACGAACACATTGAAAAAGTGATATTTTTGTCATAAATCGGAAAAAATGCCGTGTAGTGACAATTATATTCCTAAAAAGAACAACAACAAAAAGGCACACCAACCTCAAATGAAAACAGAAGAGGGCAGCAGTAAGAGATGGCCACCATCCAGGAGAAGCTGATCCAACAGAGGCTCCTGGTTGAAGACATCATCATCTCATACCGCTCGGGCTTGCGGACAGCCACGTAGTGGTCCACGTTGAGCCAGGTCAGCGAGTACATCTTGGCCATGATCAGCACCGTGTAGGCGTAGGCTTCAACGCTACAGAACATGTCGCTGCGGACGGTGCAACAGACATATGTACTTGTCAAATAAAATACAGAATCACACATATTACTGAAAGGAATCTAATTTTGTCATAAGGTTAATTTTCAAAATCTATGTACTTTATTGAGTAAAATTCTTCACATTGAACACATGAACACCTTAGTAAACAAGTAAAGGACCCCTTTCCTAGCCTTTCATGCTTTAGACCTATATTTTATAGACCAAACGGCACTTGTTGTGCCAAAGTCGTTTTAAAATAAAAGTCTTCGGCCCCCGTCAGGAACTTAACCCGCGACCTTCCGATCCGCAGGCGAGCGGCTAGCCACTAGACCACGGCGACGTTCAACCAATTGGCTGTTCTTTTTTATCCGGGTCACAAGCTAGGACAATGGAGCTGCGAGGAGTTACCTGGGTATCTGACCGATGCTTAAGACTCAAGGGAAAGGCGAGACGGATGTACAATCAAATAGTTGCTGCTACGACTGGAACTGGAACTCTTCGCTTTGGTACCGAAGATGAGGACGAGGAGCTTGAGTGCGTGCATGTGCGTGCGTATGTGTGTGTTTATGTCTGTCTGTGTGTGTGAACACTACGGTAGCGGTAAAGTGAGGAGCCCCTTTTCACCCCAATAGCGTATCGGGCAGAAGATGCTAGACTTTTATTTTCTGTAGACCAATCAGCACTCGGTGGCTGATACAGTCAACATCACACCAGCCGCTTTTACTTCCCACGATCTTACCTGGTACCCATTTCAGATTTTCTGATTAAACATTACTGAACAATGAAGATAATTGTGACAAAGAGGAGGAAAAGTTGAAGTAAGGCGACAAGGACAAGGAGGATGTATGTGGAGAAGAAGAGGGAGAAGGAGGAGGGGAGTAAGAAGCAGATGAGGGAGAGAAGGAAGAAGACGAGAAGGGTTTTTAAAAAAAAAACCACATTAGCATTAGTATCAGTAAACTTTGATATCTAAGATCAAAATAATATCGGATTTAAAATAAAAACCACAATTTATCATTAGAGTGATAATTTAGATATCAAGAAAGCCCGGCTCGCTAGCGCAGTTAGTTAAACCTAACTGCGCGGCTACCGGGTGACGAACACCTTGTGGTCCGGGTTCACTCCTGGGCTTAGGCAGAAAAGCCACATTTCTCCAAGATTTACGGTATTTATCATGGAATCAAGACCGAAGCGTTGCGATATCCATAGTACCGAGCCTAAGGGTTTACAACTCATGGTTTCTGGATATAAAAAATATATATATATATATATATATATATATATATATATATATCAAGAAAGGAAGACTGCCATGTTTGATCTTCTTGAGACAAGCAGCAGCTTCAGTAGCAGTAGAGGCAGTTGGAGAAACAGCATTAGTAAGATCAGCACAGCAGCTGCAGTAAAAGTAGAAGTGGTAGTGGTTATAATAGTTGCAGTAGTCGTGGTGGTGATAGCAGTAGACGCAACGTTAGTGGTAACAGTTGTTGTAGCGGTGGTTGTTATAGTAGTAGCATTAGTTGTAGTTGGTAATAGTAGCAACAGTAGTAGTAGTAGTAGTAGTAGTAGTAGGAGGAGTAGTAGTAGTAGTAGTAGTAGTAGTAGAAGAATGGTTGTAGTAGTGATAGTTAGAATAGGGTTACTAGTAGGGCTGTACCGAATAGGAATTTTCACTATTCGGCCGAATACGAATAGAGGGACCAACTGTTCGGCCGAATACAAAAACCGAATAGCGTATCATCATCATCAGGTGCCTTGCCGACTGGCATGGGCCTTGCGACGATCTGCGATCTCTTGAAGCATGTATTAGTTCGTGTGCTGACACACCTCCACGCAATGCAACAAGACTGTCAAGAATCTTCTCTCGTTGTCTTCCTGTATCCCTCCTTCCACAGATCTTTCCAGTGGTCACCACATGTTGCATTTTCCCTCTTCTCATAGCATGGCCGAAAAATAATGACTGTGTCTTTCTGATGTCTGTGATTAGACGTCTTCGGGCTCCCGCCTCTTTCAAAACCTCTTCGTTGCTTTTTTTTTCTTCTGTCCAGGGTATTTTAAGCATTGTTCTGTAAAACCACATCTCTGAGGCCTCAAGAAATTGTTTGGCCTGCCTACCGATTGTCCAGGCAATCAGCCATATGTTAAAGCTGGATGTTGTACCACGCAACCCGGTCACAGCTGCCCCCGCTACGACAGACTTAGGCAACAGCAACTATGTGTTAATGAGAGAGTTATTTCAGTCCATCACAGTGTATGCAGAAATGGGTGTAAGGTAACCACTATTCGTATTCGGCCCGACCGCAAGTATTTCGCCTAATACCGAATAGTTATTAGGTCCACTATTCCGCCCTGAAGCGAATACGAAGCGAATATTCGGTACAGCCCTAGTTACTAGTAGCAGTGGTGGTGGTGGTAGTGGTAGCAACAGATTCTGCAGTGGTGGAATTGAAAGTGACAGTGGTGGTGATTATAGTAGTAGTTGCGGTGATAGTGGTGGCAGTTCTAGAAACATCAATAGTACCAGTAATAATCATAGTGGTGGTGGTGGTGGTGGTGTTAGCTGTAGGAGTAGTATCAGCAGCAGCAACATCAGTTTTAGCAGTAACCAGTAGCAGCAGAATTATAAGCAATAGTCGTATTAATAATAATAGTAACAGTACTAATAGGAGCAGCAACAGTATTAATAGTAGCAACAGTAGCGGTATCATCAGCAGCAGTAGAAGTAGCAGCAGTAGTAGTAGCAACAGCAGTAGTAGTAGTAGTAGAAGAAGAAGAAACAGTAATCAGCAGCAGCAGTAGTAGTATAATAGTAGTAGTGGTATCAGCAGCAGCAGCAGTAGTGGTATTATAGTAGTAGTAGTAGTAGTACCAGTAGCGTAGTTGGGAGGTTGTGGGCAGGAACAACCACTTTTCTCATGCACTGCTTGAGAAAACTAACCCAAACTTCTGTCATAAAAGTCATCGTGGGCGTTTATATCGACTTAGTGTCACGGCACCTCAATTAGTTGCTGACTCGATCCTCGCACTTGGGAACCTGACAACGCCTTTAGATATTGGTCTAATTGTTTTCCTGTTGCGCCTGATTAAGTTATCCACACACAGCCTTGTAAAGTGAGCACATCATATTGCTCACAATTGTATTGGTAGGAGAGCCAGCCAGGAATGGGAGTTTGTTGGTCCCATGGACACAGAGAAAACACTTAGGGCGCTTTGTTTCATGTTCGTGGTCTGTCTTCTACACCCTACAGCTTAACACTATGTATGCAATACAGGAGTTAACCTCTCACGAACAATCTTGCAAGCCATTTCTTGAAAACTACCTGCTAGATCGCAACGATTTTTTGCATGCATCCATTACGTTAAGGAAATATTTTTTCACTAAAGAGGAATTTCCTATGTAGTTTTTTTTTTCTTATTTACTTTATATATCATGAAACAGTCTTGGTAGACTTTTGGAAGGTTTACTTTCATTATTTTCAGGAAATAATGCACACTGTGACTGGTTTAACCGTGGGTCAAAGAAAAAGTACTCAATTTCATGATTTTCTCGTACCAACTCGCACTCATAGTGATTCCACGCGAAAATAAGACGTTTAGTCAGAGGCCCGTCCACAAATTAGTCTTGTTATTGCGTCATATATAAAAGCTGACATAGACTTCAAAATCAAAATGAGTTTGAGATGCAAATTTATAACTATGCAGAGCCCGGCTCTCTAGCGTAGTTGGCTAAACCGGATTGCGCGGTGAGCGGGTGACGAACTCCTTGTGGTCCGGGTTCACTCCCGGGGGTGGGATGAAAAGCCACAATTTCTCCCAGATTTAGGGTATTTACAATGGAATCAAGGCCGAAAGGTTGCGATATCCATAATACCGAGCCTAAGGGTTAACAACTCATGGCTTCTGGATACTAAAACAAACAAACAACATAACTATGCAGACGGTTACCGTTTCACTCTACCAGCACTTCCTTATGGAATCTAAAATGGTTCATTTATATTGCGATATTCAAGACAAAGAGACATCAACACGATTGGCGCTTGAAGATGGAGCATTATTTAACCGTTGGATTAGACAGGTCACAGAGTACACTCATGTCAAGCAAAGAAGGAAAATGAAAGTTGACGACTTTGATGTAGATGTCATTAGACGTGAGATCTTAAAAATATTAGAGACAAATAAACGTGTTACTCTCTGAAAACTGAAATTAACATCAAAATCACAAGACAGTATTGAAATTTCAAAAAAGTAGTCTGTGAAAAATTGTAAAAGCCACCAGGTTCACTTTCATGAAAAATGTAGGTAGAAGGAATATTATTTGTGAGAAGTCACATTTAATTGCTAGTCGAAGCACAACTAAGAATATTAATTAAGATGAAAAGTCAAATCAGCCCTACGATGTGGAACAGTCACGTTGAAACAGACTAAACCAGTTAATGATAGCTAAACATTTGTATTTGTTGGTGCCTGCGCAGTAGCAGTGGTAATAACTGGTACAATACAGTCACCAACAGAGAGCTTGTTGTTGTTGCTGTTGTTGTTGTTGTTGTTGTTGTTGTTGTTGTTGTTGATAAAATTCCAATTAATCAAACCGAGAAGACAAGACCGTGAAACTTGAAAGGACACACTGTGAAAAAAAACATATAACTATAATATCATTATACTAAAAATTGTTACGGACGTAGACGCAATCACAGAAGACAAGCCAGCGGATAAACAGAAATATAAAATGCTAGAGACGTAAAGAAACCTATAGACAATCGTAAAAAAAAAAAGCGAAAAATGAAAACAAAAATTAGTACAGGCATCCTAACATCGAACCAAAAATAGAAGCAATTATTAGAAGTGTTTGAAATACAGAAGCTTGAATCTCAGGAGATCGTTTTCTTCAGAAGTGTCTGCCATTCTTGCGTAATTGTGTTTGAGCCGTGCAGACAATTTTCAGGTTTCCAGAAATCCACTTATACTAAATGATGGAAACAGAACATGCACCGTAGGCATGTCGTTTGTTA